CCCCCAGAGAGGCTTAGCCCCTCCCCTCTGCAGGCCTGTTGCACACATGGGGCACATCTCCACAGGCCACTCCTGTTGGGCTCCAGTTGTTCTTGTGTTTCATTTAGCTTTCCTTACCAAAGGGATGATTGGAACAGGGCTCCTTTGGGGATGAGAGAAAAGATAAAGGTGCCTTTTTACAGACCTTGTCTCCCTCCTAATGAGCCTGGATATCTTTTCCTCTTTCTTCTTCCATATAGAAGCCATTCATTCATTCATTCATTGAACAAAGATTGGTTGGTAATGTAATATCAGGGTGTATTCTTTAGAGGCATCCTAATATGTGAAAAGCCAGACTTAAAACAAATAAATCAGGAGTTAATTATTCAAATTAAATAGGGAATCTTTGTTTTCCAAAGGGATTCATAAGAGTGTTTCTTTAAATAGCGAGTGCCCTCAGTGCTTTTAAAATAAGACATACAGGGGCCGGCCCCCTGGCTGAGTGGTTAAGTTCGCGCGCTCTGCTTCAGCAGCCCAGATTTTCACTGGTTTGGATCCTGGGCGTGGACATGGCACTGCTCATCAGGCCATGGTGAGGCAGTGTCCCACATGCCACAACTAGAAGGACCCACAACTGAAAATACACAACTATGTACTGGGGGGCTTTGAGGAGAAAAAGGAAAAATAAAATCTTTAAAAATAAGACATACAGTATCTATTAGGGAAACAGTTCCTTTCCTACCACTATATTAGGATAAAAGGGGCTTGGAGTCATTTTTCTAGTAATGAATCTGTGCCTGCCTGTTGCCACACACTCAACCTTCAGTGAGAAAACTCCTGTTCATCCTCAGTGACCAAGCCCAGTTGTCCCTTCTGCTCCAGGAATGCTGTTTTGCAGCTTTCCTGAACCACCTCCATTGTGTTGTACCCTGTCTGGCTTTATACATGTGAACTCCTTAAAGGCAGGACAATGTCTTGCTCTTTATTTTCATGCCTGATGTCCAATAAATGAGGCATGAGAGAGTGACTGACTGCAAGCACGTCCCTTACTTGGTCTTAGCACTTTCTCTCTGCAGAGCGAATGATCCTGGAAGCTTTGTAGGGTACACTAATGTGTGTATAAGCTGTGAAAAGGAAGCTGCTCTCCCCATCTGCCTAGACAGGGGGCTTCAGATCCTTTAGTAAAAGTCTTAATTGTATACAGTTGTTCAGGTCAAAAGGCAAAGTCAAGTTGGAAGTTCTGGGTCTGAATCCTAGTTCTGATATTTGCTAATGGGCGGGCATTAGCAAGATATGTGGTGTGTGATCTCTTGACTTGTCATTGTTTTGTCACTAACGTGGGATTGATAACATCTTCTCTTTTGTTTCTCCCCTCAAAAGAGGGAAGTACATGGAATGAGAAAGAACTTGGTGAAGGCATCCCGGCACAGTGTTCCAGAGCACAGGCCTATTTCTGGCTGCTTGGACTCAAATCCTGGCTCCTCCCCTCTCCAAAGGGGTGACTGGGCCAGTCACTTTACTCCTCCAAGCCTGAGTTTTTTTCTCATCTATTAAATGTTCATTGTAGTAGTACTTACCTCATAGCCTTGTTGTGAGGATTTAACACAGCACCCAGCACACAGTGAATGCTTGGAGTGTTAGCTGTATTTTACTGTTTTCCTATGAGTTGTTGTGAGTGTTTTGTTCACAGTGAGCCTTATACCCTTAATCCAGCTGCTGGAGTACCAAACTAACTCTTCCCTCATGTCTTTTTGCAGAGGATGTGGATCCCTCAGTTGGTCGCTTCCGGAACATGGTTCAGACTGCGGTGGTCCCAGTCAAGGTAGGAAGCACATCGTGACGGTATTTGAAATGCCATACAGTCTGGTTTAAAAACCTGCTCTTTTATGTGTAGGTTAACTGTTAAGTTTGTGCTTAATTTTAAAACACATCCTTTGCTCCTTTCCTGTTTTTCCTCCTGTGGAAATACTTTTACCCCATCTATGTCTAGGGGATCCTAGAGTGCCATAGAAAGGCTGCAGGTGACCAGCCAGCTTGATGGTGCATGTAAATGATGATGCCATGTGAATCTGTAAATTGGCCTCCCAGCAGGATGTAGAGAGGCCCATATTTCTTTAGCCTTTCCCTTCTGACTCAAAGTAAGCTATTTAGCGAGGAAGAAGTGATGTTGCATTTCTGCATGGCACCTCTGGCTTTTGCCATGCCTTTATTTGTGAATGAGAATGGCACAGATAGGAAAGCCAGCCCACATCTGGATTAGGTTTAAAGATCAGGTATGTTGAAGAACCAAGAGGTGGAAGTTACAGAGTGTTCTGATTGCTCAGCATGTGGATAACTACCTGACAGCCAGAACTGTCCAAAAGAGAGCAAAAGGCCCCTTCAAGCAGTGAGATCCCTATCAATAGAGATAGTCAAGCAATGATCAGAAGGTGCTAGTCAGAGAGGCTATAGAGAGTTTTATTTTAAAATAATCTTTAGATTATATTAGACTAGATTGATAAGATGTGTCAAGTTCCTGGTTAGTCTTTAATTCGAAAAGAGTAGATTGATGAGGGGGATCTTTCATGGACTTTAGTCAACGTGTGAAGAAGTACAAGATGAAACTTTCTGAATAACTCCATAGTATTCAGTCACATTTCCCCTTGAGCTCTTTTCTCTCTTTTTTTCTTCTTCCTTTAGAATATTCAGTTGTTATTAAAGTACAAAACTGGCAGATATTTTTACTTTATGTCAGTTTTATTGTGGTATAATTTACGTACAATAAAGTGCATACATTTAAGTGTACAGTTTGAGTTCTGACAAATGTGTACACCTGGGTAACCACCACTATCCTCAGTATATAGAAGATTTCCGTCACCCCAGAAAGTTCCCTCATGTCCCTTTGCTGTAAGTTCCCTCCCAGTCCCAGCCCCAGGCAACCAGGAGATGGCTTTCAGTCATAGGTTTGTTCCGCTCTCAGATTAATGTTTAAAACTTGGGCACCCAACATGAAGATACTAACTTTTTCTCTTCCCCCACAAAAAGAAGAATTTAAATACCTACTACCACCAATTATCACCTCTCTTTCCTAAAAGGGCATTTTAATACCGGGAAAAGAGAGGGGGCCGGCCCTGTGGCTGAGTGGTTAAGTTCACGCGCTCCACTTTGGCTGCCCAGGGTTTCGCTGGTTCAGATCCTGGGCACCGCTCATCAGGCCACACTGAGGCAGCGTCCTTCATAGCACAACCAGAGGCACTCACAGCTAGAATGTACAACTATGTATTGGGGGGATTTGGGGTGAAAAAGCAGGGAAAAAAAAGAAAGAAAGAAAAAGAGAGGGACCCAGGGGTGTGACCTGAGGATAAAGAATAGTTACTTAACCTGGATAAGCTTTACTTTCTGAAAAGCTCTCACACGGTCCTCATTTTTCTCAGAGTGACGTAGGATGTGAACACTGTGGAGCAGTGTTTGGGACGTAGATGACTACTCTTAAGGTCTCTTCAAACCCTGAGATTTCAAGACAGTGAAATAGGTTGTTTGGGAAACAAAAGAAGCTAGAGGTTTAGAGGCCTTCCCCAATTTTTCTAGGGCTGGAATAGAAAAGGCTAACACACACCACTCTCTTGCCTTACCTCTTGTCTCCTCTGCTCCTTGTAAACCACAGAAGAAGCGGGTGGAGGGCCCTGGCTCCCTGGGCCTGGAGGAATCAGGGAGCAGGCGCATACAGAACTTTGCATTCAGCGGAGGACTCTACGGGGGCCTGCCCCCCACGCACAGTGAAGCCGGCTCTCAGCCGCATGGCATCCATGGGACAGCACTCATCGGTGGCTTGCCCATGCCATACCCGAACCTTGCCCCTGATGTGGACTTAACTCCTGTTGTGCCGTCAGCAGTGAACATGAACCCTGCACCAAACCCTGCAGTCTATAACCCCGAAGCTGTCAACGAACCCAAGAAGAAGAAATATGCAAAAGAGGCTTGGCCGGGCAAGAAGCCCACACCTTCCTTGCTTATTTGATATTTTTGGTCATGGAGAAGGGTGGGAATTGGGTGGGAATTGGGTGGAAGGGTGATGGGGGAGCTAAATGAACTAGGGAGAAAAACTTTCCATGTGTGCAGTATCGTCTTTCAGAATGTCTCTTGGGGTCCTAACCATGTAATATTAAAACTGGGGGTGGGGTTGGAATATCCCATAAAGACCTGTCTTCAGAGCACTTTCAGTGTAGAGAGAGGTTCCATATGTCGTTTTACATAGACTGCCCAGGCTCTTTCCCAGGTCTCTCATTACCTCCTTTTTCTTTCTCTCCCTCCTTCTAGGATCATTTTTATTTAAAGTCACATGCCCTAGGGAGAGACTCTAGGCCTTCAGGTTGAACCCAGAGCTGTGGAGGTGACAGTAGTAGTACCAGCCTTGTGGGTCCAGCAGCCTAATTGATATTGACTATCTCTGCAAGTCCCAGAGAGCACAAGAGTTGCCACAGATCCCAGGTTGATCAAAAAGAGTGTTTAGAATTCCTCAGTTAAGCTAGGGTTTAAACAGAAATGTTTTCCTGGGTCGGTGGTTTTGAGGTCCAATAGCTAGGCTTTTCTCTTGTCCTTTCTGTTGGAATGAGAATATTTTGATATTCCCTTGTCTGTGACCAATGCCACAGACACAGGTTGATAGTTTTAAACTTACAGTATTGTTTGACTTTACCTATTTTTCTTGTAAAACCTGAGTACTCTGCTTGCCGAGGTTTCTCATTTGACTCCAGAGTACTGTCCTCTACTCTCTAAGGCATTACTTTCCTTATCAAGTGTGTTATGAAGGCAATTTTTTAAGGATATCACCACTTAGAGCAATTCCAATTAAAAAGAAAAAGATTTTACTTTGCAAGTAACTGACGTCTCTAAGAGGAGATGTTTAGATGCTGGTTTGGAGGCCCTTCCCCCCTTGCTGAGAGCTCTTGCTATCCGGAGCTGCATGGCCAGACCTGGCCGACAGACATAGGAGACGAAGGTAGGAAACAGTGATATGAGCTTTGTACAGAGATTTGTACATTTGTGTAATAGGCCTTTTCATGCTTTATGTGTAGCTTTTTACCTGTAACCTTTATTACATTGTAAATTAAACGTAACTTTTGTCATTCGGGTGCAGTCTGTGACTCAGTCGCCATCGCGGATTCCCACTGCCATTGGGAAATGTTTGTCAAAGGTATGGCTGTTGGGTTTGAGAGGTTATGCTCTGTCCCCATTTTATTACCACAAATAAAGATGCCCTCTGATGAATGAGGAAATTCTAATTAGAGATTCCAGTCCCCAGACTGAAGCCTCACCAAGCAAAGTGGGTTAAGAGCTGCCTGCTGCCCTTCATCAGGAGGCAGAACCGCAGCCCTGACGAGGGGGGACCGGGCTTTGGGACACTTGTCCTGAGGTGGGCGTGGTTAAATCTGGTCACCCACTTTCTGGTTACAGCTGCGTGTTTTTCAGCTATAGCTCAAGTCGCAGAGGAGCAAAAGGAAGCTATAGTTGAGTACCTTTAGAAGAGATTTCAGCCCGAGTTTGGATTGAGTGGATGTGTCTTGCATGCTAGAACCTCGTACGCAGGAAGTGCACCTTGTGTGTGGTGAGACTTACATAGGTGGCTTTGCGATAAGATGCCAACTAGGCTCCAAAGCCCTTGGCTGAGAGTGTGGACTCTCGGCAGGAGCCCCTGCTGAAGAACTAGGATCCATAAAACCACAGCTATACGAGAAGTTGGCTTCACTGCCAGCTACCGTAAAAACGAGTGTCCCCATCTTATGAGGGTGCCTTCCTCTCCCACTGAAGGGTACTGTCAGCGCTGGTTAACAGTCACGCACTGAGCACCTCCCTACCCTGCCAACCATTTACAGCATGTCGCTTAGTTTACATAGCCCTAAGAGGAATCCTGTTTTCATCCCCATTTTACAGATGAGAAAACAGGCTCAAAGACAAAATAAACTTCCTCATGATCCCCCTGTAGTGAAGTCAGGATTCAAACTCCGGTCTGAATCCAAAGCCTGAGCACAGGTTCACACAGCCTCCAGGATGAGCTAAGGTGAAGGATGTGCTTGGTAAGCTGGAGCCATATCTATTTGTAGCTAGGTGCTTGTTTTGAAGTTAAATTTTTTTTTTTTCTCAAACTGGACAACTGAGGGTATATTAAAGGATTTAGATCTGGTTTAGATAATAAAGTCCTTCCTCTGAGAGAGATTGTGCCATGCATTATTTGGTTTCAGAATTAGAGCTGCAGAGTGAAATTTGCATTGGTGTCTCAAAGAAAGCTCAACAGAATATCCACATCTGCAGAGCTATATCTTCCCCTTCCAGGGCCTGCCGGCGTTAGTGGAAGCAGGACTGACTGAATTTGGTAGTCACGTGACGTAAGGAGGCATGTCTGTGGAAACCTGGCTTAGTTGGCACCATATTTCTGATTGATTCCGATCGTTTTTTAGCACCGCTGACAGATGAGCACTGCAGAGGGGGCTCAGTTGCCTCTTGCCCTTAATGCAGCTCTGGACGATGACCATAGAGACCATGCCCTTCCCTTCACCACAAGGATTGACAAGTGGTTATCACCCAAGTGAGCCTGATGCTGCTGAGGGACACAGCCTCTCCCCAAGGGACAGGGCCCACCCTGGAGGAGAAGCAGCTGTTGGTTTCCCCAGAGTCCTGTGCCCACTAATGGGCCATCTGCTAAGGAGGGACGGGGTGACCCATCCATGTTCCCCTCCCCAGAGCGGGAAAGGGTGGTGAACTCTGTAAAGGACACCTATTGAGAGGAACCAGCCCATTCCCCGGGTGATCCCAGCTCAGGATCAGCTGTTTGGTGACAGCTTGCCTGAAATATGCTCACCATTACCTGCAAATCATAGAATTTTACAGTCAGAAGGATTTATGAGATCCTGTCTGGATCCTTCATTTTGCTTGTGAGCAACCATGGCAGTGGGGCCTCACTTCTTTCCACTAACGTGGACTGAGCATACGGGAGTGCACTCCCCCTGCCTCCAAGAGGCCTGCCTTAGAGAGGGAAATGGGCACACTTCCAGCGCGGTGGACTGCCGAGAGCTTTAATGGAGGGATGGACAGGGTGAGGACAGCAGAGACAAGCAAGACCCTGCAGGTCGGAGAGGCTTCTAGGGAGACGACATTTGAGCCGAGCATTGAAGAGCAAATAGGGATTCGCTATGTGGAGGAGTGTGGACCAAAGTTCTCCAGGCAAAGGAACCAGTGAGAGAGAGGCGTGGAAGGAGGCCCTGGGGATGGCTGGTGGGTGGGGGGAGGGAGGGGTCAGAAAGGCAGAGGCCAGATCTCGCCCTGTAGGCTTTACCCAGGAATTTGAAAGTACCAGGAAGCCACTGAAGGATTTTTTTCCTTTACTTAAAAAAAGAATTAAAAAAATTAGTGAAGGCATGCCCGTGTAGAAATAGTGGAAAATTCAGAGACATGTACGTCTCACACTCACACCCCCCACCCAGAGTGCAGAAGGCTTCCTTCGGGAGATTTCAGGCAGCGGCAGTGAGCGGTCAGATTCAGATGTCAGAAAAGCCCCCCGGCGGCAGGTGAACAAGGCAGCCCCTGCCCTCAGCTGAGTCTCCTCGAAGCGGGGGAGACAGGTGTTCTGCTCTCTCAACAGCCAATCTAGAGGGAAGGCCAAATGTTGCGAGAACAAGGAAGAGAAAGCTCCGCAGTACTTCTGTCTATGGGAGGGATGGGGGCGCTGAGGGGAGAGGGTCATGGAAAGCTTCAGAGGGGTGACCTTTGATGTTTTCAAGCGGGGGCAGCTGCAGGAGCAAAGCGGGGGTGGATTGACGCCCCCAGCATATGATGGGGGTGGTGGGAAGGCTCCGGAGTGCTCACCTGCTGAGTTTGGGTGGGGTCTGTTGCCATGGAGTAAAACCACTTCCGGTTCCGCAGGGGTAATTGGATTCCAAGGATTCGACTTCCGAACAGGGGCAGAGGTGCAGTTCCAGAGTCAGCCAGCAGGCGGGGCCCTGCTCCCGTGCTCGGAGCCACTACGGTAACGGGTGCGCACCCTCAGGGCTGTGGGGTGGGAAAGGAGGAAGGAAGGAATCCGGCTCGTTGTTGTCGGGCACCCTGCCGGCGCTTCTTGTGTGTTGTCCCCCTTAATTCTCCCAACACCCCTGAGAGAGGTTAGTAACGTCCCATTTTACAGCTGGGGAACTCGAGGCTCAGAGAGAGTACACGGACCGATGTCACACAGCTGACAAGTGGTAAAGCAGGGATTCCAACTCGGCCCTGAGGTTTTGGACTAGGAACAGCACAGGAGCTCCTGACTGGGGTTGCTGTCCTGCCTGCACCCCGGGTGTGTAAGAGGCTCTCCCTCAGAGCCTGCAGAAAGAACCAACCCTGCCCACAGCTTGATATCAAACTCCCAGCCTCCTGAACTGTGAGAGAATCAATTTCTGTTGCTATAAGCCACCAAGTTTGTGGTCATTTGTTACGGCAAAGCTAGGAAACTAATGCAATCCCCCTAGGCTGGCAAACATGTGAGACTGCTGCTTCTTGCTAATGACAGCTGTAGTCTTGGGCTGGGCTTCTCTCCTCCTGCATACAGTTTATTAAGATGCCCAGTCATCGCATTGCCCCTGCTTCCTGATAGCATCCAGTCCAGAGCAAAGCCCTGCTTCCTTCAACCCTCTCAAATCATCTAACCCAAGCCCAGATCCTATCATAAGTCCTTTCTAACGTCCTCTCACTGAGCCACCCTGTGGTCCCCACAGAGCATGCCATCCTTCACTATGAGTCATAAACCCAACTGGTTAACTGCCCTGTGTTCCTGGCGGTCTTTGGCTGGAGGGTTTGACACGGCCTATGCCCAAAGGCTGCCATCTCCAGTGAAAATCTTAGCCTGCGCACCACCCTTCCCGTCACCTGCTTCCCTCGTTTCCACATGGCACTCATTGCCTTCTCCCTCGCTAGATCATTTGCTCTGTGTTGTTTATGGTCTGTCTTCCCTCCACCCCCCACTTGAATGTGAGCTCCCTTTGTTGAATGAATGAACCGGTGCTGGGACAGGAACAAGCCAAGGGAGCTCCTAACCAGCTTGGCTACCAGGAAGGCTTCCCTGGAAAAGGGCTATGAGGACTGTGATGTGATAGGTAAATGAGGTGATCCAGGCACAAGAGTGGGAGGAGTATTCCGAGCATGTGCAAAAGGCCTGGGTAAGTAAGGGGCTCTTTCAGGACTGGGAGAGTCCAAGTGCTTCGAGGTGGCTGAAGAGGGTATTCTGGAAGCAGAAGGCAAGAGATGAGGTTGGGAGTTGTCAGGGGCCAGGACATGAGGGGCCGGGTTACCGGGAGCTCAGACCAATGGACCTGAGGGCCATAAGGAGCCATAGAAGGGCCCTAGGGAGCCATGGAAGTGTTTAAGAAGAGGTGGCATTTTAAGAGCAGACAGAGGGAGGCGGACAGTGCTGTGGAAGAGGTAAAGATGGAAGTGAGAAGACCAGCAGCGGCAAGGCTGTTAGAGGGTGAGATGATGCCACCCGGGTCACGGTGGCAGCTGGAGAGAAGGGGTGGAGTCCAGGGAAGAGGAAGATGACCCAGGTTACCTCCTGGGTCCCTCGTCTGGGTATCCGGGTGTTCAGAGGTGCCATTCACTGCAGAGGGGGACATGGGAGGAGCAGGTTACGGGGGAGGTGCTGAGTGTGAGGAACTTCATGCCATCGGACATCAGGGGAGATGTCAAGTGGGGAGTTGTCTATACACCTGAAGCCCAGGGTCAGGCTGGACACACAGGCTTGGAAGAGCGACATGGACAGGTACCGAAGCCTTGGCAGAGAGGAGGATTCTGAGGACTTCCACCTGTGAAGCCAGACGAGCAGAGGGCTCAGAGTGGGCAGGGCTTAAGCAAGGGCAGAGGGAGGCCCACTCCCTCATCCCTCCTCCTCTCTCTCTGGGGTCTCTAGGTCTCACCTTGCCCCTGGAGCCCCCAGGGGCTGGAATCACTTGCTGGGACAGAGGTCTCCCGTCTCTCTTATAGTTCACTGCTCCAGGCTTCTTTAGAAAGCAGTGGGGAGGCTCTGCGGGGCACCCAGCACAGACAGCTGCAGCGGTAGCCACTCTGAAACCAAACGCCCACCTACAGGTGGAGACAGCCACCTAGCCCCAGGCCCCAGGCCCCTGTTATTCTGGGAAAGCTCAGAACTGAGGCTGAAGTGGGCGGTCATCAAAGCAAGTCCAAACACAAGGTCACCATCAGCAGCTCACAGACAGCAGGGCTTGGGAGGCAAGCCTGGCACTGGCTGGTGCATTTCCTCCTTGTCCCAGTGGCCAGCCTTGTCCTCCTTGTTTCAGCCACCTGCCTGCACCAGACTTTGACCAGAGCTGGAAGCAGATGGGAGGGGTGGGTGCCTTAACCCAGACCCCATGGGCTCCCTCCATTCCTCAACTCTCCATTCTGCCTCCTAAATGCCTTTCCCATCTGCCCACCAGCCCAGGTGGGCCTTCCCTCCTCTCTCCTTGAGCACAGCAGCAGCCCCTCCCTGCCCGCCGAGCCACCTTCCATACCTTCACCAGTCTGGCTAAAATGCAGTTCACACCACATCACTCCTCATTTTGATCAATCAGGAACTCATGCCCAAAACCCATGGGTCAAAAGGCAAACTCCTTACTGGGGTCTCTCAGAGCCTGCTCCCACTCCCTCTGGGGCCTCCAAGGCCCACTCCCACTCGAAACTTCTTTCAGTTCCTCAATGTGCATCCTCTCTGCTGCCCTACCCCCTCGTCTCTCGCTCATCCTCAGCTCAGCCGTCGCTTCCTCTGGGCAGCCGTCCCCGGTCCCCAGGCTACGGAAGGAAGGTGTGCTTGAGTAACCCTCACCCACTGGGTCCCCACCTGAAGGCAGGGAGGGTAGAGATTATCTGCCATGTTTACCAGGTTCCCAGCAAACCCACAGTAGGCCAGAAATGTGGACGGCACTGAGCTGAAATGCGTTATGAAGCTCTTTCTCCTTGCTTCCCTCCCTGGATCCTTGGAGCCTGCGCCGCTGAATACGCAGGTGGTGTTAGCCTCCAGCCTGAGTCCAGGGGCTGTGTCCCTCCCTTCACCTGTGCCACCCAGAGGGTCTCCGCCCTGAACCCAGTGACCCCCCAGTGGTGTTGGGAGGAGATGCCACCAAACTGAAGTCACATTTCAACAAGAATCCCAAACCCTTAGAGGAAGTAAGGGCAATGAGATGACATAACAGGGAGTTCCTGCAGGCAGGGCTCGAGAGAGGCCCCTGAGAAAGGGAACTTGACCCGGGGCTTCCTGCTCCCGGCAGCACCGAGGGGGGGTTTGTTGGAACCTCCGACCCTGGTTCAGTCTCTTCCCAGCTGCAGGACTTTGGGCACACTGCTTCACCGTTCTCGGTGGCAGTTCTCTTGTCTGTCAAGTGCAAAGAACGAGACAACCTACATCTCTCGGGGTACTGTGAGCTTCATGAAACAACGCGCGTCCCACACTGAGCACGGTGCCTGCGCTCGACGAGCCAAGTTCCCCTTCCCAGGCCCCCAGGCCCCCAGGCCCTCCCGTCGCCTCCATGTGTATGAAAATTCAAATTTGTGCAATGCCCAGGCCGGGCATGGGTGAGACATACTCAGTGGAGGCGACAGAGGGAAGAAGTGCTGGGCTGTGGGACAGGGCCCCAGAGTTGAGGAAGATGGAGAAATCCTGACAGGTAGAGTGGGGGGACCTTTGACCTTCTACTTCAATCCCTTTTTATTGCAGCTGGGGAAACTGAGGCTAAGAGGCGGCAGGAGCTGTTGCTGTGGCCTGTGTGTTACTCAGAGCCAGGTTTGGTATTGCAGCTTTCCTGAACTGATCGCATCGAATGCGAGTTTTGCAGCACCTCTGGAAACCAGGCTGAGGGATTCGTGGAGGTGAGGGCACACGCTTTAGACTCACACGATTATATGGCTCAAGGTCACAAGGAAGAGGCCGTGACCCAGACAAACAGGGAGCCCAGGGATCTGGAGTCCCCAGGACCCTCTCCCCTACCCCAGGGAGGGCCATTCTCACAGGATCTGGAGGAAGGTGTGGAGGATAGGGGAGTGAGGGCAGATCCCACCTTCCAGAATCCTCCCTTTGTCTATCCAACAAATGCCAGGTTCTGCGGAAATAAGTGGGGGAAAAAGACATGCCCAGCCCTCATGGAGCGGATAGCCTATGGGGAGGAGATGTTAAGAGACATCATAGACGTAACATTATAACTGTGGGGAGGGCTATGGAGAAGGGCTTCACGGTACTGCGCAAGGGTGTGATAAGGGTCCAAACTCTGTCTAGGGGGTCAGGGAGGCCTTCCTGAGGATGTCGTTTAAGCTGAGACTCAGGATGAAGAAGGTTACTGTGAGACAATAAAATATATACAGATATTGGTCTCTGCCGCCCGTTCCTGGTACGGAGTTTCTAAAACCCATATAGTTTCCTAAGCGTTAAGGGCTCTGGGAGCATCCTTTGTTCTAATGAGGTGACTCTGGGTGGGCTCCTGGATGGGGGCTGGTCACCAGAAAGACAAAGCCATGATTAGGAACTTGGAATTTTCAGCCCCGGTGCCCCCTCTTCTCCAGAGAGAGAAGCAGGGCTGGAAATGGAGTTGATAATTGATCATGCCTCCATGAGGAGGCCTCCATAAGATCCCAATAGCGTGGGGTCTGGAGAGCTTCCACGTGGATGAACACACCCACACACCAGGAGGGTGACACGCTCCAACTCCACAGGGACAGCAGCTCCTGGGCTCGGGACCCTTCCAGACCTCTCCCTATGTGTCTCTTCATCCAGCTGTTCATCTGTATCCTTTATCATATCCTTCGATAAGCTGGTAAACATAAGTGTTTCCCTGAGTTCTGTGAGCCACTCTAGCAAATTAATTGAACCTCCGATCTATAGCTGGTTGGTTGGAAGACAGGTGATAACCTGGGCTTCTCACACACCTGGAGTAGGGGAGGAGGGTAGTCCTGTGGGAATCCTGCGGAACCTGATGCTAACTCTAAGTAGATAGTGTCAGAATTGAGTTGAATTGTAGGACACCCACCTGGTGTCACGGAGAATTACTCGGGGTGGGGAAAATTTCCTGGGAGGATGGGGTTTTCTCTACACAGTTACCCAGGCAAGGGAGTGGTATGCATTCCAGGCAGAGGCAGTGGCATATGCAAAGGCCCTGTGGTGGGAAGAAGTACAACACAATCTAGAAAAATGATCCAAGTTTGCCTTTTCAATAAGGTGGAGGGCTGGCCCAGTGGCCAAGTGGTTAAAGTTCCATATGCTCTGTTTTAGCAGCCTGGGTTTGCGGGTTTGGATCCTGAGCGTGGACCTGCTCCACTTATCAGCCATGCTGTGGAGGCATCCCACATACAAAGTAGAGGAAGACTGGCACAGATGTTAGCTCAGGGCTAATCTTCCTCAAGCAAAAAACAAAAAGGAGGAAGATTGGCAATGGATGTTAACTCAGGCTGAATCTTCATCACCAAAAAGAAAAGAAAGCAATTCTATTCACAATAACATTGAAAAGAATAAAATACTCAGAAAAAATAAAAGAAGGTGGAGTAGAGGCATCCTCTTTCCTTTTTCTTCTCAAAAATCACCCTCCCATACAATAAGGAGAAGAAGAACAGAAACTCCATCTTCTAAGAAGATATTTCTGACCTCAAACTACAATATTGTAAAAAAGTATCAAATGCTCTGGATTTCAATGTGGTTCAATAATGGACTTATTAAACAATTTCGTCTTTTCTCTACTTCTAGAACTTGGCCTCCTCAGGCCTTCTCTTTCTTATTGTATTAACTAATAAAATTCCAGTGCCTGGCCCTAAGAATGGAAACCTTCCTAATTACCAACCACTGTAAAATCAGCCACAGAAAGACGAGAGGGAGCTGTCTTTTCTCCCCTGAAGCTATAGAAACAGAAATACCTACTATGCTCCATCATAAAAATGAGTTTAAGCATCAGACATGATAGGGTCAAAAGGAGAACTTTAACAAGAGTGTCCTTCTTGTTTTCCTGTCCGCTGGGTGGATTTGTGGGACTATTCATTAAAAACATTAGCTTGGGGGCTGGCCCAGTGGCCGAGTGGTTAAGTTCGTGTGCTCCACTTCGGCGGCCCAGGGTTTGCAGGTTCAGATCCTGGGCTTGGACCTAGCACTGCCCATCAAGCCACGCTTTGGCAGCATCCCACATAAAATAAAGGAAGATTGGCACAGATGTTAGCTCAGAGACAATCTTCCTCACAAAAAAAAACAACAAAAAACCCAGGTTAGCTCTGTTAATATAAATCTGTCCTGAGAAAGACTGTTTGCACAAGAGAGTCGTGAAAGACAACCAGACTTCAGATTGTGGAAGTAACTTGTAAATTCCAAAAATAAGCCCATAATGGCAATTGGCTATCTTAATTGATTTGATCCGTGATAATTGTGTTACAGTTGTCATCTCTTGATTACTTCTAAGCTTTTTCTTTGGAAGGGGGGGTCAAAGCAGAAGACAATCTTTGGCAACTCCCTCTCTCCCACATAAAACATAATATCCATGAAATAAGAACAGAATGAATAAAAAGAAGAATTTAAAAGAAGTTCTTGAAAATTAAAACGATAAGGGGCCGGCCTGGTGGCGCTGCAGTTAAGTTCGCACGCTCCGGTTTGGTGATCCTGGGCGCGGACCTACACAGCACTTATCAAGCCATCCTGTGGTAGCAGCCCATATATAAAATGAAGGAAGATGGGCACAGGTGTTAGCTCAGGACCAATCTTCCTCACCAAAAAAATAAAATAAATAAAAATAAAAAATATAAAAGAAATTATTAAAACTAGTAATATGGTTAGAAGATTAAGTCTGTGGAATCTCCTAGAAAGCAGAACAGGGAGGCAGGGAGATGAAGAATTGGTTCAAAAGATACAACATACAGCTAAAAAGAGCTCCTGAAAGAAGGAAAAACAAGGACGTTTCTAGAATGAGGAGCCTAAATCCCCAGATTAAAAAGATCCACAAGTGCCCAGAAGCAAGAATGAAGGGCCTGCGGATGGCTGAGCGTGTGAAATATCAGAGCAGCCAGGACAGAGAAAGGCTCCCCACCTTCAGAGATGAGGAGTCTGGAATAAGAAGAACATTGGGCTTCCCCACAGCGAGCGAGTTACTCCAAGGCCGGGGAGCATGCTCCCAAGTTTGGGGGGAGCACATGGTTTACAACCTGGACCTGCACACCAGCCAGATCATTGCTAAAGAATAAACAATACTGTACCTTAGGTTTAGGCTTAGCAACAGCTCAAGATGACTTTATCTTTTAAAGATTGTGATAAAATACAGATAGCATAAAATTCACCATCTTAAGCATCTTTAAGTGTGCAGCTCAGCAGTGCTAAGCACATCCACATTGTTGTGCAACCGATCTCCAGAACTTTTTCATCTCACAACGCTGAAACTTCATCCCCATTAAACAGCTCCCCATTTTCCCTCCCCGGCCCCGTTCTATTTTCTGTCTCTGTGATTGTGACTCCTCTAGGAGCCTCGTATTAGTGGAATCATCCCGTATCTGTCTTTTTGTGACTGGCTTATTTCATTGAGTTTAATATCCTCAAGGTTCATCCATGTTGTAGCATGTGCCAGGATTTCTTGGCTTTTTAGGGCTGAATAATATTCCATTTTCTGTATATACCATATTTTGTTTATCTATTCATCTGTCAATGGACACTTGGGTTGCTTCCGCCTCTTGGATACTGTGAATAACTCTGCTATCATGGGTGTGCAAACATCTGTTTGAGCCTCTGCTTTCAATTCCTTTGGGTATATTCCTACAAGTGGGATTGCTGGATCATATGGTGACTGTTTCTTAATTTTTTGAAACTTTTCACTTAACCTCTGCTGAAGAGAGACAGCAGGCCCAGATACCGCCCTCAAAACCCAGAAATTGCACAGAGGTTTTGTAGAGTTTGGAGCTCGAAGCCTGATCTCCGCTCCCAGAGCTGGGCACCTCGGCTTCCCTCTCAGCACCACCAGCCATGCAGTTGCTGCAGAGGCCTCTGACCACAGGGGACAGCAGCCTCCCACACCGACACCCACAGCAGGGGTTTGGCTTCCATCCAGTCCCCGTTAGGAAGCAAAAGGGTGAAAATCTCTGGGTTCCAAACCACTTCCCCAGGCCCGGGGTCAGTGGTTTCACTTTTTGTGTTCCCGCTCCGCTCCTCCCCCAGACACCCCCTCCTCGGGACCTGGCCGGTTCCCAGGCCTGAGCACCTTGGGCCCAGCCCTCCTCAGCTGCCACCCCTGCTGATCTGGGCCCGCCCAGGAGGTCTTGGGACCCCCACCCCTCGAGGACCAGCATCCCCTCTGCCTTCCCTGAGGCCCTGGGGCTGGGCTGTGGAAGCATCTCAGGGTGACCCGCAGGCTCCCGGATCTCCTCATTCACCCCTTCCTCCCCCTTCCCTCCCCTCCCCTCCTCTCTGTAGTCTCTCCTGTCCCCTTTCCTCTCTAGCTTCTTCTCTCCTCCCCTGCCCCTCCTCCCCCCACCTCTCCTTACCCGCCCTCCTTCTCATCTTCCTCCCCACGCACCAAGTTGTAAAAGCTGCTCTGTCTGCTCCTGTCTCACAGCAGCTTTCTTCCCCAGCACACGGAGCCCGAGTCAGTCAGCCCCTCAAAGCTTTACAACCACACGTGCTCTCCTGCGTCAGGATGTAAGGATATTGAGTATCCGTTTCCAGAAGGGCCTTTCTCCCCAGGGAAAGTCTGACAGGGGAGGGGCAGCCCTCCAGGAGGGTCCCCACAGTGGTCTCAGGGGATCCTTGGCAGGGAGCTGTTCATACTGTCTGTACAAACCATATCATAGAAAATCTAGGGAACAGAGAAAAGACCGCAGAAGGCCCTTCAAGTCCCCTGGTTCCCGGGCGGTGAGCCTTTCTGGCCGGACCCTGAGTTCCAGGCCTTGTCTCTGCACGAGCCTCTGGCAGGATAGGGTGCCCCAGACGTATCCGCACTGGTGGGACGTCCCAGATGCCCAGAGGACCATCATGTGACAGACTGTGACGGGACTTGTGAAAGAGCACATTTCTCAAGGCCACCTCAGCGCGGCCCATGGCCCAGCGGAGAGGAAGAGGCCGCAGGAGCCTGGGGAAGCCCCTGCCGGCCGCTCAGCCCGCACAGCGGGGCGCTCTCCGCCTCTCCCACCCCCGGGCCCTGACCTTCCCGCCGGAGGCGTGTTTCCCACCGCCTCGGGCCTACGTGCCCTGTTGGTGGACATTTAAGCGAACAGCAGGACGCTGTAACAACCCTCATCTCGTGCTGCGTCACCTTTAGGCCCCTTCCCCTCCTGGAAAGGCCCACCCCACCCCGTCGGACGTTGCCTGGAAACACCAGGCCACGTGGTACCACGTGCAACAGTGTCTGGTGCCAACGCAGCAGGTAGGGGCCCAGCCCCTGTCCCCAGTCACCCTGAGACACCTGCTACTCTTGTCACGAACTAGTTGCCCTGAGGAACGCAAGGGCAGGTTTGGATATTTTAACTGTTTTCCCAGATTGCTCT